CCCTTCTGGGTAGTAACCCAACCGCTGGGTCAAAACAACCCAATTGCTGGGTTTGTCCCTATTTTACCCAGCACTGGGTTGTATTTAACCCAGCATTTTTTTAGAGTGTAGTATTTTTGGAAGCACCTCAGAGCAATACCATGGTATGAATACAGAAATCATTCAATACCAATATTACCAACTGATACCATCGCTGTACACTACAGTACTGTTTTGTTTTTGAGTTTGAGGTGGTCATTATGATTACTGATGATAAAGTCCAAAAATGGGTAGTGCTTTGAAAATGTTATGACTTCTATCCCACATTCATGAAAGCACTAGACATTAATGGTGTAAATATGCAAACACAAGCAATTTTTTTTAAATCTGTGAGACCATAACTAGTTTTGAAAGTTCTGTGTAGGTCCCTCTTCTTGATTACTCTTGATAAAGAGTTACCGTGTTCTGTGCTTCATTTATACCTGGACATTTGAGTGAGCAGCAATTGAATGTGGTCTGGGATCCTGAAGTGCAGTTCCACTCAAGCCAGTGCAGTAATTTAGACCCTCTCACTAAGACTGAAGGACATTTACACGTGGTAAATCTGGTGTAATAGAATTACTTCAGTCCACGTAACTTCCAACACACTGCAGCTGTAAGGAACCCCTTGTGTTTTTAGGTTAGGTGAAGTTTAACTAAGCCAGAGTCCAAACTATTGACGTATAACATTTGGATTCCTGACATTTCCGAAGATCTTCAGACAAGAGAGCCTTGTGCTCAGGTTTTTTTTTTGCATTACTCGAAGCATGTTTGCCTGTAAGCCTCCGCTGGTTGTTAGAGAATCTCTCAGTGTGATCCTGAGGCGGCTGCTTTGGAGAAGGGGACGTGTGGAGCAGAGATTTTCCAGTGTCCCATCCCCCATCATCACCGAGCCCCATACATTCCATACCACAACTTCCAAAACATAGTCGTGGTGCGGCCCTGTTTCCATGGCGATGGTTTCCTTTTCCCGATCTTTGTCTTCTTTTGGAACAGCAAGTGTCTCCTAGGAAACAACGTGACGACCCAGCACACAGTTGTATTTTTCTTTGCTCTAGGGTTAGTCTTGTCATGCTTTTTGAAACGATTATAAAGTCATTACAGAGGTTTTGTGATCCATTTAACACAGATCGCTGAAACCACAGACGGAAACACATTAGTGGTGAAAGGCAGTTGGTTTGTTGCGCAGTTCAGCACAAAATGTTTACTCCTAAATCATTTCAAGCAAAGAATGATGGTTAGATTGAATGCAAAACACCCTTTTGAATGCATTCAGCTCGTGTATCATAAGCAGGAATAAAAACAGGAAATGGTTCAAGCACTAAGACTAACTGAAATGAAAGCAGTATGCAGAGTTTAAACTGTAGTTTGCAGAGAGTTATATCACGTCTCTTTCTAGTATCCCTGCACATAAATGCATCATAAAATTATCATGTTTACTACACTCTAAAAAATGCTGGGTTATTTCAACCCAACATTGGGTCAAATATGGACTAACCCAGCTGTTGGGTTACATTTTTTAATTAAAGTTTTAACCCAAAAGTTGGGTTAGTCAATATTTGACCCAACATTGGGTTGAAACAACCCAGCATTTTTTAGAGTGTAGCTTAACATGGTCATGAAATTGAAAATGTTTTATATAACTTTCGATACAAGTAATTATTAGTAGTTATACAAGTAACCGATTTTATCAAACTAGCCTTATATGTAAATTAGTTGAAAGGAAATGTATGCTTTTATTCAGCAAGGATGCATTAAATTGATCAAAAATGACATTAAAGAGATAGTGTAAACTTGGTATTCATTAAATAATCCTGAAAAAAACGTTTCATGGTTTCCACAAAGATAATAAGCAGCAACATTTTCAAATTTGATAAGATGTTTTTTGAGCATGTGACACTGAAGACTGGAGTAATGATGCTGGAAATTCAGCTTTGCATCACAGGAATAAAATACATTGTAAAATGTATTAAAATATAAAATGGCTATTTAAAATTGTAATAATATTTCATAATATTACTGTTTTTGACTATTTTTGATCAAACAAATGCAGCCTTGCTAAGCATAAGAAACTTTTTCAAAAGATAGATAGATAGATAAAAATAAAATACAATAAAAACTTACCACTTCCAAACTTTTGAACCGTAATGCATAATGTTTTAGTCATGTGGCTATACTTCTAAAACAATGTGTAGTTTTTGTTTTCTTTATCCCAGTGTAGCAGTTTGTTCCATTGTCAATAGTATTAGAAGTGGTAATCGATATCACAAATGCTGTCCATTATCCATATTGAACCTGAACATTCCTTTAAAGAGAAGAAAATGTTATCTAATCCTCTGAACATTTGTCTCTTGATAAAAATACATACATATAGAACAAATAATGTGGAATGGGATAGACAAATCAGTTTTGAGTTTCTTGACATCTCTAAATTCAGCAGCACTGTTTCTGTAGTCTAGCCTTTAGACTTTTGAGTTCAGAAACCTCAATCTCCATTCATACAATGTGACTTGATAATAGACTGGAACTCTTGCTGTGGTGAAAGTCCTTGTGTGTCAGGATGCAGCGACCCTATAACCTCTCAGTCTGTCATAACAACCTCAAAACTGTTCCTTGGAGACCACTTCACAAGGAATCTTTAGAGCTGTAAAGCTGATAGTGACATTAGAAGCAGTGGTAAACACAATATAGCATTCTTAAAAGGTCCCTCAGGGGATTGCTATTTTAACATGCTATAGTCGATAGCATCTGACCATTTTGGCTAATTCAGTTGCTCTGCCTGGTTGTGCTTAGCCAATTTAGCAGCCATCAGATTGCAGTGCAGACCATTTTTAAATGTTTATGTCGTGGAGTCTGAATACCATTGGATATTATGGCAGGCAGATTTTGGGCCTTGTACCACAGACCATTTGCTTATGCTTCGAAACAGATGGTGGTACATTTCATTAACTTCTAAGTGTACAAAACAGCTAATTGGGATTAATTTTTGTATATTTTTATCCCAAATCCCCCAAAAATGCATTAGATTTAGATTATTATCGTGTAGCTTATTCACACTCTGTTATTTTATCACTCCTGTGTTTGATACCAAGCTGACTGTCACTTTGGATAAAAGCGTCTGCTAAATGCATAAATGTAAATGTATTGTCTATTATTATTTATTATATAAC